GAGATCATGCATGTAGATAATTGGGTAAAAAACATACGATCAGCAGAAGTATACTTTAAATGGCATAACTAAGTAGCGATACCTATCAGGTTTAGGTCCAACTCCCTGCAGTCAAATCCTGAAAGCGTACAAAAGCCAAGCCTTCTGGTTCACCTACCATATAAAACGACATTCATTGACTAGTTTAAGTAACGGCTCACCTGTAGTTCCAGCCGAAAAATAATCCACTCCTCTTCCATCAGGAAAATGCTGCTGAATCTACTTTAAATCCAGGAGTCCCCGGTGGAACTAAACCATACAAATTAGACGGTTCCCGATGATCTTACCGAAAAGACGGCCCTCACCATGGTCCCAAAAGACACATCAACGGGTTCCCAACGGCCCTATGCCCCACCGACCGGATGCTCCCCGATGATTCTAACCGTCCGAGCCACAAGCGGATATCAATTACCGTCACCTCCGAGAACAATCACCGGTGCCTGGCCGCCGGCGGCGCTCGATATCATTGATCATCGGTCAGGGGGGGGGGGGGGGGTCACCGATCGGCCGGTGGCCAGGTGCCATCGGCAGGGCGGGGCCTGACCGCCCGACCCAGATCCCCAGGGCGATATAGCGCCGGTCGTCACTTGTCGCCGATCGCCACGACACGGGACAGCTGCAGCCACCGCCCAGCGGCCGCTGACAGACAGCGAATGATTCACTGCTACAACCGCTGCAAGCCGTAAATTAGAGCCGACTTCACTTCATGTTCTATTAGCGCGCCGGTTTCCGCAATGTTAATTATCAAAGTGGAGAATGGGATCACTTTTAATGCTCACGCAATCGGCGTCATTAAAATCCAAAATCACAGACTGAATAGGTAAGATAAATCTGTTTGCTGGAAAGAGGCATTTGCAAGCAGACAAAGGGCATTTTCATAGAGTTGATAATCTTGTTACGAAAAAGGCATCGAATTATGAATGCGCTTTAGCCATCCCTAGGTAAGATAAGTTTACGAATAACGCTCCGCAACGCCCTTTGCAAGGTAGGTAATCAGAGATCAACCCCGCTCCTCCCTCTCAAAAACTTCTTCCATCTCATCCTCCCAACCACCTGAACAAACGAACGTTCTCGGCCACTCCGGTCGTGCACACACTGCACGCCGGCCAGTGCGGTGGCCTCTGGATGAAGTCACCTGCCTGTCCACTCACTGGGTAGGTAGGTGCGCCGCACTGCGGGCCCGTCGGCCGCCACCCGATACGGCGCGGCACCGCGGGTGGCACCGCTCGGCTGGGAGGCTCCGGTGCAGAGATTGCGCAGGGGGTGCATGGTTCAGGTGTGAGACGGCGTCGGATTAGGGCACCGTGTGTGCTCACGGCCGGTATCAGTGCGCAACTGTTGAAACTGGTAAATACTGCGTGTTGGTTGACGGAAATCCAGGCTCAGGCTAGCAGTTTTGATAGCCCGTCGCTGAAACGTTAGTGAAAGCTGACCGAGTTTCGTGTAAAGAGATTGGCGTTCTCAGAGTCGGGATTTACGTAAACGTGCAATGCGTTACGAACGTTCGTGACAAATCAGCCGAAAGTCAGAAAGATACCGATGATCTATCACGTAATTTCCCCTGTTGGTTATGTAAGTGCGCTAGGGAAAGCCACTGCATCCAATTGCAGAAATCACGACCACAACATTCCACCCACTGCTAGTCCCGGCCTGGCCACCAGTCAGGCTGGTTGCGCAACATCTAGGTAATGTCTTCAGACCAGTACCGTCTCGCAACGGCACCGAACTCACCGCTCAACATCAAAGGTAGACGAAATTTCCCTGACTGCTGGCCAATGCTCATCGTGAATTCGCCGTTTCCTATCAGACTCTCAATAACTCGTTTCTAAGCCATCTCACTCTCCGTCCTATCACTTCTGAAACCCTGTCCTTCCCATCCTTCCCTCTTTCGTTCTCGAACCCCCTATTCCCTCTCCAGTGAACCGAACGTATGTACTGAGCCGACGCGCAGTACGCCCGCCGTTAATTATATGCGGGCCGTGCGACCGCCATGCGCCATCCGTCCAGTCATGGTGTGGTGGGGGCGGAGAACCAAGGCCAGCAATGGGCGGCAGGCAGCGCTTGCCAGTGCGCACTGTCACTGCACAGTACACACAGCACAGTGACCAGACAGTCTGACCACAGCGCCGCCGATCGTGTTATCAGCACGGGTGAGGAGCAAGGGAGAAAGAAAAAGATGAATAAGTAGAAAACAAATCAGAGGAGGACAGAGTAAAAGAGTACGGGAGCTATGGAGAACAGAAGTACGAGATAAACAGGGTGGCAGGGGCCGAGCTAGTTGGGAAAAGAGCGAAGGAGAGCGAGGGAAAGAGGCAAGAGATTTAGAAGGTAACAGGGAAATGGCTGGAGAGAGCGATGGGGAGACGGAGAGTAAGTGAGTGAGAGAATGCGTGAATACAAGAGTGAGCGGGAGAATGATAGAAATCTTTGTGCGGATGCGGTTAGTGAGTGAGTGAGTGAGTGAGCGAGTGAGTGAGTGAGTGAGTGACCACTGACCATGGCCAGCGCTGGCGACGTCGGTATGGGTGGAGTGACGCCAGCTGATGGGCGGAGAAGAGGGCGAGAGGGGAGGGGAGGACGGAGCATAGTCGGTGGCTAGGTGATCAGAAAAGGCGGGGCGGGGAGGGGCGGGACGGCGCGGGGAGCACGTGCTTCGATAGGGGGTGGGGAGGATGAGGGAGAGACATATAGCAGCTGATCAGAGCGATTGTGAACGCCCGTAGGTTAGGTCGCAGGTGACACACAAAAAGTGGACTGGTCTGAACAGGAAAAGAAACGCTTCAAGGCCACACATACATCTGTCAACAAGATAGTAGTGATCAGAGGCGTTGCATTCTATACAGGCTAGTCAGTGCAGAGTAAGCCATGGCTGCTTTATCCCGTGTGCTGCTCTCAACGCCCACTACAGACGGCTGGAGAGAGCGATGAAAAAAGAGACAAAATAGGAGACAGGGATAGTGGGAAAATGAAAACAGCCAAATGAAAGAAATCGGGAGAAGAGAGAGAGAGAGAGAGAGAGAGAGAGAGAGAGAGAGAGAGAGAGAGAGAGAGAGAGAGAGGAGAGAGGAGAGAGGAGAGAGGAGAGAGGAGAGAGGAGAGAGGAGAGAGGAGAGAGGAGAGAGGAGAGAGGAGAGAGGAGAGAGGAGAGAGGAGAGAGAGAGAGGAGAGAGGGAGGGAGGGAGAGAGGGAGGGAGCTGCGCGCTCCGCTGACCAGTGTGGCGCCGGGCCAGCGGGAGGAGCGAGGAGAGGAGCGTTTGCGGCCGTTTCAGCCAATCAGCTCTGAAACGAACCGCCAATCAGCGCTCGTTGAGGGCTGCACGGCGAGTAGACCGTCCTGAGAGGGGCGGGGGCGGGGGCGGGGGCGGGGAGGTACTCCATGGCCGCTGCGCTTCCCACAGTGGCAGACACAGCTATGAACAGAAGCCACAAAAGAGGCTTGGTGCTTAGACAGACTAGCTTATAGCTAGTGAACAAGGCCAGTCATTTTCCGCTGTTCAGTCACCACCAGCCAGGAGTTGTGCACTGAGATCAATCGTACGAATGGGTGCTGAACGCTATTGCTAATTAGCATGCAGGCGCCAGGCGCAGTAATTTATTAAATATAATTAAATATATATCAATTAAGTATTTATATAGTATAACTATGCACCTTAATGAATAAAACGAAATTGAGGAACGCTTTACACAGAAAGTTCCAAATGACCTGTAGATCAAATGGCATGTGTAATTAACTTGCATATAGCATAAAAAAGACGTCGCTTTCGTGAAATATGAACGAAAGAACTACACAACCCTGTTGGATTCAATGCGGTGGCCGGAACTATCCGAATCAGCCGTACCTCTCGGATGTAAGTTTACATATAAGGCTCCTCCCATTCCTCCGGATACACATCTTTTTCGAGTTACAGGAGTGCCGGGCGCCGGCGGCAGTGGGTCAAATTTCGACCATCACGAGCCATAACCCTAGCCGCAGCCGGTAGAAGTGACACTTCTTGACACACCTCCAAAACAGGTGTCACAATCAACGGTGACACCCCAGCGGCCGCACCTTCGGACCAGGCACAGCTGCGTCTACTTACCGCAGGCGACAGACAGACATACCGACAAACAGACATCGGGTGACGGGACAAACGCCAACCGACAAACACGAGCGGCCACTGCGTCACCCGCCTCGTCTGATTATTTCACAGAAAACGGAACTGGGTTTAGAACGAGAAAAAAAATAGACACCACAAAATCAAGTTCAATTGAACCGGCTTTGAAACCTGGGGCAACTACACAACCGTATATAGTGAATATCTTCGCCGGAACCCACATACGAGTATTTTCCTCGACACAGACGACTCTAGGATTGCCGAATTGGCGCATCATTCCACTCCATTTCACGGCCCCCAATCTCCATTCCCCGATAAAACCGTCCCTCGCCCACGCCAACGAGTCGTGTCCCTCCCCTCATTCCTAGTTTATAGCCGGAAACCTGGCTTCCCGCCAGGCTTCGATAGTAAACCACGGAAAACATGGGCGGTACGCACACAAAGGAAAAACGGTGAACTTTTGGTCAAGGCGGAAGAAGGGAGAAAAGCAACGATTGAAAAAGAGTGAGCCAATGAGCCAACAGAATGATGCGATTATAACGAGGAGCCATTTTCTGTATTATTCTGTGCTATCTCAATACCGGGATGAGTGCTCGTCATTATCGAGCAAATATTGGTTCGATAATGCGTCGTCGAAGCAGCCTTTACGCTCGCATGTGATCCGGCATCAATATCGCTCAGCTGCCCCGGGACACGACAGGCATAGCGACTATAATAGCAGAGGTTACTAACTAATCTAATGAGATTGACGGCGAGGACATCGGGTCGGAAGTGCAGAGCGTGCGATCGCGCTGATTTCCCAATATTAATCACACTTCAATCGGCTGTTGCAATGTCAAACCAGTTTTGATCGAGTTAGGTACTCACAGGCAGTAGAGTAGGAAGCAGCTACAGAACACCATGGGCAGCTCATCAGATAGCTGCATCTCGTACAGCAGGGTCATGTGGAACGCCCAGGAGCCGAGTCCCACCACTGGCGGCACAGGGGACACAGCGTCAGCCAGGGCACGGAGCTCGGCGCCGCCTGCCGTCCGTTCAGCACGGCCTCTGGGCCTTTTGGGCAGGGTGACCTTGCATGCTGTTTGGTAAATTCTTCGATTGCACAGCTGTCAGAATGTTTCACGACTTTGATCAGCGGAGATTTTATCTCAGATCAGTTTCCCACCTATATAGCAAAACATGTTTGCAATTATCTCGGCGAGCGAAACGTAGCCACTCGACCACTTTGAGTGTTCAGCGAGGTTCTGTGATTGATCCAACACGTCCAAAGGCCAACAATCCCGCTACACCGCCGGCAAACTGCTAGTATTACGTTCAAAATAGCTCATACCGATCACATGGAGATCGGATGCAACACGGCTTCGACTTAAGTGTCGCGAATACTCACCTAGTAGAAGAACAAAGCAGATAGCGAAGCGAAGCTCGAACTTCTGCCTCAACACCTCGTAGATGCCGTAGATGGGCGGCAGGATCATGGCCAGGTTGCTGATGGTGTTCCCTACGGGGACGGACATCGGACGGTTAGCAGTTAGCACGGAGACGGAACATGCCATTTTTGGTAAAAACATCAGCATCAGTTCCGTTATATAAACAAAACGTCAAGTCGACTTGATTAGGCCGCGTGGTTACAGGGTTATAGATAGCTGGGTTACGGTGTCTTTGTTTGGATTATATCAAACTGAAATGACACACAGCCAGAAATGTAGACATTCGTCAGTGGCAACGAATGTGAACTTTTGTGAATACAGGCACGGCATGTTAAGCAAAAAGACGCTCAACTTTTAACAGCCGTGCAGATCAGTCATATGCCAGTTATTTCCTGACAAAAAATGCGGTGGTGCATTTATTCAGCAGTTCCTAACGTGATTCAGAGCGGGTTGTGGCTTATAGCCCGGCGCGAGGATTAGAGAGCACCGTCCAATCTTTCCTCCTAATCTCACGCCACTTAGACGGAAACATCACCGTACAGACCACGTTCTGTGAGTCACATAGCTCGTTTTGACAGCCCACAGATTGTCAATCATACAGTGACAATACGTGCAGACGTACTCACAGAACTCGGCGATGTAGTCGCTGACGGCATAGTTGGCCTCGCACCAGTCGAGGGTGGAGGTCGGGCTGCCCCAGAACCCCTCCACGGCCGGAGCCATGCTGATGCCGCCCTCAGAGCCGCCGCACCTGAAACAGACCAAACAGCCTCGTCCAGTCTTCCGTCCTGAAAATGAATATATCTGATTCATGTCGTGTCGGGTTACAGTGAATTTGCAGTCATGAGCAGCAAAGAAACATCGTTAGATCGGTATATACTGCCTTGATTAGGTCCATGACCCAAACGAAACAGTATTCGCCATTCGGTTCCAAAGCATACAGTTGAGTCTTTAGGTTGTCGCGTCCTCATCCTAAAAATTGACAATAAGCCACATAACTTCAACAGCACAAGCACAGAAAAAGTAATAGGATTGTAATAAAATGATGATGATGGGAGCCTACCAAATATTTTCGGCATTTTTCTTACGCATACATTCTGACACCTGATTCTGACACAATTCTGAACCCAACACCATCCAGACCTCCAGACGTCAAATTTAAAATGAGCGCCACAGCTCACACTGATTAGATTGACGTTCATGTTTGTCGTACCAAAAGAACGGCATATAAATTCGAGTCGACTACTACATGCGTCACAAAATCAAGAAAGTACCTTAACATTTAGCAAGAAAGAAATGAAATACCTACCTGATGCAAAACTGACAAAAACGGAGCCTACTTCGAGCCTACACAAAACACAAACAAACGTAAACAACTCAGATAAACAATCATATGGCAGCACGGCTGAGAAGCTCCATATCCAAAAAATATTTATTTTGAAGCAAAAAAGCCATTGATCAGCATAAACAAATATTTTAGAAGATTCTGAAAATACAAATACAGTCCTGCGATAAGTTACACAAACTACCGTAGAGTGCTTACTGACGACCCTAATTCATTTTCACATTATACGTATGTACGAGTATGCACGTATGTTCACTCAACTGACCAGTGACCAGTGACCTGCAAGTTTCTCAATTTTCAAAAGGTGGAGTGGGTTAGGACTTAGGTGTAGAAAACGGTCCTTCCGGTGGCCGGTAGGTTCACAACAACTAAGATTACTACTCACCAACTTTGATAAGGCGTAGATTGCGATCGGCTCCATGAAACTAACCTCGGTCTCGCGACGTCCGCTGTTTTTGCCGGCGAGATGCCGGCCTCGAGATTTAGAGATCAACCAGTGTCAGTCGAGAGCGAACAGACCTCGGGACACTATTGCTGGTTGAGGTCTGGCCTGGCTCGCTCAGATACTCCGGCGTTACCACGAGCACCACCTGTGCAGCACCACTGGGCCACCTGTAACGCGTGTCCGACCGCCGCGGTCGCGTGCCACCGGTGCCGCCGAGCCGACGGCCGTACCCCCTCTGTCACCTTCTGCGCACTGCCGGCCGCCCAGCCCGCGGGCTCCATTACAACCGCCCGAACCGCCCACCGAGCTGCGCACCGGCACCGCCTAGTTGGCGACGTGGCCACGAGGTGGTAGCACGGGCGCAGTTCGGGTGCAGGTGCACCGTACAGCTCCCTTGTATGAGCTCACTGAACGCACCTGTGGTGCACGAAGCCCGGCAGGAAGCTGGCTCATGGCTGGTGTGGCCGATGAGCCGGTCGCCAGCAATGCTAGCGTCCAGCGCCTGGTAACATGGTGTCGTTATACAATCGCGATATAGGACGTAACGACTCAAATGACACTTGTGCAATACCTACACCGATGCCTGTCAATTGGCATCGTTGCAAAACGAAACGAGCTGCTGATTGGATTGAAGTCGGGAACTCGAACAGCTCGCAATACCTAATCGAAACAAACATAATGTTGCAACTTGCAATTACATGACGTTTCCTAACATGTCTCAACATAAGCATCGCAACAGTCCGCCAGAGAATGGCCATAGCGTAGTCATGTCCAAGGTTCTTCTTACAGATAGTCATGTCATCATGACCGCTAAAATACAGAGCCCTGCACCAAGCCCGGAAGTCTGAACGAGCTCCAGTACAGGCGCTTCCTAGCGAACCAGTCCAGTGCGGATACTGGCGTTCAATGACACCTTTAATTATGAACATCGTTCGTACTACAGCATTCCACAGCACACAGCGTAAGGCTGTCTTATTGGCTACCGCGTAGGTGCACGCTGAGGGCAGCAAGAAGAGCCAGCCGACATTATCTGAGCCGAGCCGGAGCGCTGTGCCATCTCCACAGTAGCCAGCGTCATCGAAGGACGAATTTGCCGTGCGTGAGGCGACGTCCGGCGGGCAAATCGCCAAGTCATCAAATCAAATAGTGCATACCTAAATGAAAAAAATGTGCTGAGTGTCGCGGCACGTCGGCCGGTCGACCTCAGTGAGATACCGAAGGTCAAGGTTCTGCTAGCTCGTCTTTCTATAAAGCATACATCACTGTGAAATATACAAATTCAGCCTTCAGTTACGTGACCTTCAGACTTCAAGATCTAAGCACTCACACAAATGGTATCCAAGGAGCTACGCGTCCACCGACGAAAACAAGTTAAGGGCTGTCACGTAGGTCATTATGGCAGTCTAATTTTGCGTGTCTGATCAGCATATATCATTCGCACGCGACCCGACGAAGACCATGATACCGAAGATAACGGCGAACATTCACGAGTGAACGGAAGCAAGCATGTCAAATTAGCATTTGTTAATCCAGCGGCGGCAAACTTCACCTCAATAAGTAGCAGGTGTGCAGTGTCTGCTACCTCTATCACAAAGATCACAAGTAGCTGGTGTGTGGTATCTGCTTCTGCTCTACCCTCTATGTTTCTTTCGCCGGTGTTCACTGAAATGGTGGACAGCAACGGCACGTTTTCAATGACACATGGGACACAATTAGGCCAAGCTCTCAGGGGCACCGAACGATACTTCACTCCCGTCTAACTGACCGTAAATCGTATGTCGAGCCAAGTTAGCCCTATGGCTGGGCACATCCCATCCCACCCAGAGCGTAACTGGCGGCCGGATAACCCCAGCCTCGTCAGACAACTCACAACAAAGGCGCCGCCGACCCGGCCGGAGCGGACGTCCCGGTTCCGCCGGCGCGGCGCGGACGCTTCCCCAGGAACGCACCGTTTCCGGCATCCCGACCAGGCCTGGAGGGAAAAAATGATAGCGCCTTAACGGGTCATACAAACGAATAAATACACCGTCAGTTCAACGGGCCGGTGAGGCACGTGTAACAGCTGATTTTAACTGGCATTCCCAGGCCCAAACAGACGCGACTCGCTTGCCAGGTTCACCAAAACGACCCATGTGTGTCAGCGTTATGAAAACATTTCTGGATTGGACTGCCAGCAGCACTGAATAACACGGGCAAGGTCACGGACTCAAGCAATTAGTTACATGTTGGAAAGATCGATTTCGGACTGCCTGCCTTCGGACAATACAGCTACACTGGATCTGGAGTGATACTTCTGAGATCTGAGGATCTAGATAAGTACCAGGCGGAGCCATCCACAGTCCCCATATAAGGAAATAACAAAGTGTGTGGCAAGAATCCGTAAGCTGCATTAATTTGAACGCAATTACTTACTTGATTCACAAGGAACCCAGAAAATTAAACCATTAGTTGTAACGAAGTATTCAATTCATTTTCATTTTCAATTCATCCTAAAAAATATTTACAATCCGTGACATATAAGTTGGACAACTTCACAGCGAATGACTTTGCATTTGCTTTTATTAATACAATACAATGTCCCTCGAAGTCGCCAAAGATGTAACGCAGGGCGCGGAAAACACATTGCTAAAGAGCAACAGGAACACCTCGTCTAGTTTTCGTCGCTGACGTCGACAATCAACACACCACAGACGTACTCTTTTATATCACACACGCAAACACACCCACGCATTACCTACTCAGTCGTCACGAAAACAACGCACGCCATCCAGAAGCCTAACTATCACGCACGTCCACAAAATTTCCTCAGACATGTCACAAGACTGAGGTGTCGAGAGGATGCCGGTGTATCATAAAAGTACGAATATCGATCATTGACATTCGCCGAAAGAAGAAAAAAACAGGCGTAGTGATACAAAGGACAACATATAGCGACCCAACAAGTGAGATTGAAAGAAAATTTAGAAGAGGAAAACCTAAATACCCCGTGCTGACAAATTTGGGTAACAGCAGAGCGCACACTCTCAGTACTATCCCGGATTAATATAATCAAACGGACTTCAGTTGCGCCTTGCTTTCACTTATCCCAGGGCACGGTTTTCCGCACACTTGAGCAGCATTCTCGAATAGCAGCACTTGAGGCATACACAGGAACACTTCACAATCTCCAGCAAAGTTTGTACCATGTCCAGTTCCACCGTCCATTTCTCGTGGTTGATGATCCTCCACACCGATTCACCGGGCTCAAAACCACAAGACGGAATAGCTCCTCGTCTAGTCCGACGCCTCTACAACGCACCGCAGCACACAGCGACGTACCTGAGCGACTCTCATCAGGCGAGCAGCGAGACGAGGGCGTCCACAAAGCGTGTGCGATCGTCCACCTGAACCTCCACCACCGAGCCGTCGAAGCTCCTGGGCGTTATGTTCGCCCGGATCCGCTGAGCCGCCTTCTCAAACGCCTTGCCGAACAGGTTTCTCGGCGACTGTTCTGAGAGGGGCGGCACACCGACCACCAGGCAGGCGCCACCGTCGCGGCCCAGCGGCGTGGTCAGGATCAGAGGCAGCTGTCGGGAGCGCTTCGACCTCTCCCCAGCCACGTGCGCGCGCAGCACAAAGTGTGCCAGCGCTGTGAGACAGTGCGGCCGCGCGAAGAAGTGCGAGTTGGGCTCGCCGTCCGAGACGGTGGCGTACAGGAAGGCGCCCACGGAGATCACCTGGTGCATGTCCAGCAGGCTCTGCACGGTGGCGCACGTCACCTGGGCGAGCTTCTCGGCGAGTCCGATCCCTCGGCGCAGCAGCGGCTCCTGGCGCCGGTCCAGGGCGGACAGCGCGTCCATGAAGCAGTCGTCGGCCGACCGATGCGGGTCAGGGTTCTCCAGCAGGGCCACCATGGCGTGCACCACGTCAGCGGCCGCCAGCGGTTGTCGGAAGCCTAGTCGTGCCTGGAACGCGCCGTACAGCACCCCGTCCAGCAGGTACTTCTCGGCCTTGGCCTGGATCAGGTCCCGCACCTGTCCGCGAAGTGTCATGTCCATGGAGGCAAACTTCTGTCGGCACTGCACCAGTGGCAGGCCGAGCTCGGCCAGAAACTCCTGCAGCCGCTTCTCGCCTTTGAAGGTGAACAGTTTGAACTGGCAGGCGACCAGCGGAGTGAAGCGCAGACTGTCGAACAGACTCCAGTGCCGGTAGAGCACCAGGTTCAGGTCCTGCTCGAAGGCCAGTCGCAGACAGTCTGCCGACGTGGTCTCGTCGCGCTGATGGCCGTAGCGCGCCACCTGGCCCTGGTAGTGGCCGGCCGACAGCACGTACCGCTGGTGCTCCACCTTGCGCAGCAGCAGCTGCTCCGTCAGGCCCACCAGGCCGTACCACAGCAGCTGAGACGTGTCGCGGCTCATGCGCAGCGCCAGGTCGTAGGCGAGCAGGGCGCTGCAGTCGCCGTACATCGAGAACTGCGAGTACTCGGCCAGGAGGCGGTCTCGGCGCTCCTCCCAGCGGCGCCGATCCTGCCGGCGCGCCAGGAACGCCGCGTCGTAGCGGCGCCGCTTCTCGCCGCCCGACTCCGACTCGCCGGCGTCCGAGTCCGAGTCGGAGTCGTCCGAGCGGTACAGATCGGAGAACGGAGGAACGCCGTCCTCGGCGGTCACCGGAGTCACGATCCGAACCTGATGGGCAGCGAGGGAGGCGCTCGGTCACACGGGGAACAGCAACGATACCAGAGACCGGGAGGGGGCGGTCACAAACGGGGACAGCAGCAGTAACAGAGAGGGGGAGGACAGTCCTACGGAGGACGGCACCGATACCAGAAAGCGGGGAAAGGGAAGCAGGGCTGGCCGCGAAATCGAATCAGATGGGTTGTGCTGTGCGACTCCGAGGAATACCGCGTTCGACGAACTGTTAATAACTTATGATACTCTAATGGTTGCTGTGCCACAGAAATACAACAAAATTAACAATACAACTTAAACAGGTTGAATCAGCATCAGCAGCACAGCCACATACATACCTGTCCGTCGTTGTAGACGTTGTTGACGTCCATCGGCCGCTGGGAGTCAATGACGAATATGATGACGTCATCGGGAGGATCCAGCTCAGCCACCAGGTCCATGGAGATGCCACAGTTGATGAGGACCACCAGTCGCACCAGGCCCACATTGTCCTTAAAGGACTGGCGCAGGTCATCTGGGCCCTGCAAATGGTGAAGGGAAGCACAAAGTCATGAAAACTTTCTGTGAGATGGATAATCACACATAACATACTACAGAGTTTAGGTATTGAGATGGTTTTGGCATATTGATTACTTTACTCATTCAAAATCAATCAGAACATGGGATGTTAGTGAATCCAAATAAATTCAATTAAATAGTATGGAATGCTGCAAATTGAAAAGACTATCAATTAACTTGTCAGTAGAGCATAAGAATAACCAATTCTAAGGAGGTCTAGAAGTTGCAATGGCTTGGCATGAGCCCATCACAAACCTACCTTTATAGGTATGAGGGTATACAGCACATGGTCTCCACGGAAGAGCTCTTGAAGAATTGCTGAAGTGCAGATTGCATCTACATCACAGTGCACGAGGAGAAGTATTCTTTGATCTAACAGCTGCTGGTAGAAGTCCTTCTTTATGTCATTGATAAGCATCCTGTAAACAGAAAAGAAAAGTGATGAAGAAAGTTACCTATCTTCTACTCAGCCAAGCCAAAGTCCAAGACCCCCCAGAAGATTAAATAAAATAAAGCTGAGGTCCATAATATTTTTCAGAATTTATTTTACTTTCTATATTGATATCTTTGTTCGGAGAGGCCATCGTAACCAAGCGTTTTCATTTTTTTTCAATGCCCTGAATTCATTTTCCGGGGACCAGCATGTATTTTTTTTACCATACCATAGCTAGGTAGTAGGTAGGTAGGTGCATCATACTTTGACATCGGCGGTAGGCACATTGATCATGATTGAGCATCATGTGTAGACATGAAACAGCATGAAACTGAAACGTTACTTCCAATGTCACAGAGGGATGCAAAAGGAAGCAGACTTACCTTGAATATTTATGCCAAAAGCTATAGCTGTAGCGTGATCACCAAAAAAATAAATTGAAATGATCTATGATTTAAATCTATAAATCACATCATTTACTGAGCATGTCAAGTAGGTAGGTACTCAATTTCCTCCTCGCACTGTTTCACAGCATAAGCAAGACTTCAGGGTAAATAGAAACCAGCAGAACCCAGAACACAGCTTCAATTCCAAATTCCAATTCAAATTCCAATGAAATGCAGTGCAGTCTGAAATTAGGATTATTACTGCATCTATAGGGAAATATCAATGCTTCAATATAACACCACGGTATAGAGAGATTGTATAAGGGCATTAGGCAATATACCCTGGTATTAGGTACCTAATGATTTGACTTGTGTATAACACATAAAAGCGCACATAAAACAGTGCATAAAAGCGTCATTATAGAGCGTCACCGACAAACCCCGCGTTCGATGTCTCTCGGACGGCGAAGATTCTACGCCGTCCGGCCAATCACGTTCCATAACCGCAGCCGAGCCCCCGCTGACCTTGGACGGGATTGGCCGGACGACGTAGAATCTTTGTCGTCCGAGAGACATCGAACGCGGGGAAAGTCCTTGCGCCATTGACTGTCATTTCTGCGCATTATTTGTGAAAGTCATCCAAAAAAGCGCGCGCCTGTTTTAGAGGACAACACTATTCGACCGCCACCCTTGCAGCCATTCTATAACTCAGGAACTACTGGACCGATCGGAACGAACGAAACACCATTCGAATCAGGGGGTACGATTTTATCAGCCGTTTCGAGGCTCGTGACCCCAGGTGACCTCGGTGACCTCAAGAGGTCAACTCGGCATTGACGCCTATTGCAGCCATTCTATAACTCAGGAACTACTAGGCCGATCGCGACAAAAACACCACCAGTCGAATCAGCGTATGCGATTTCATCAGCCGTTTCGAATATGGTGACCTCAGGTGACCTCGGTGACCTCAAAAGGTCAACTTAACGTTTTCGCCTATTGCAGCCATTCTATAACTCAGGAACTACTGGGCCGATCGTGACGAAAACACCACCAGTCGATTCAGCGTATGCGATTTCATCAGCCGTTTCGAATATGGTGACCTCAGGTGACCTCAGTGACCTTGGGAGGTCACATGACCGTTGTGCCTATGGCAGCCATTCTATAACTCAGGAACTACTGGGCCGATCGCGACGAAAACACCACCAGTCGATTCAGCGTATGCGATTTCATCAGCCGTTTCGAATATGGTGACCTCAGGTGACCTCGGTGACCTTGGGAGGTCACATGACCGTTGTGGCCTATGGCAGCCATTCTATAACTCAGGAACTGCTGGGCCGATCGTGACGAAAACACCACCAGTCGATTCAGCGTATGCGATTTCATCAGCCGTTTCGAATATGGTGACCTCAGGTGACCTCGGTGACCTTGGGAGGTCACATGACCGTTGTGACCTATGGCAGCCATTCTATAACTCAGGAACTACTGGGCCGATCGCGACGAAAACACCACCAGTCGATTCAGCGTATGCGATTTCATCTGCCGTTTCGAATATGGTGACCTCAGGTGACCTCGGTGACCTCAAAAGGTCAACTTAACGTTTTCGCCTATTGCAGCCATTCTATAACTCAGGAACTACTGGGCCGATCGTGACGAAAACACCACCAGTCGATTCAGCGTACGCGATTTCACCAGCCGTTTCGAATATGGTGACCTCAGGTGACCTCAGTGACCTTGGGAGGTCACATGACCGTTGTGGCCTATGGCAGCCATTCTATAACTCAGGAACTACTGAACCGATCGCGACGAAAACACCACCAGTCGATTCAGCGTATGCGATTTCATCAGCCGTTTCGAATATGGTGACCTCAGGTGACCTCGGTGACCTTGGGAGGTCACATGACCGTTGTGGCCTATGGCAGCTATTCTATAACTCAGGAACTGCTGGGCCGATCGTGACGAAAACACCACCAGTCGATTCAGCGTATGCGATTTCATCAGCCGTTTCGAATATGGTGACCTCAGGTGACCTTGGTGACCTTGGGAGGTCACATGACCGATGTGGCCTATGGCAGCCATTCTATAACTCAGGAACTACTGGGCCGATCGCGACGAAAACACTACCAGTCGATTCAGCGTATGCGATTTCATCAGCCGTTTCGAATATGGTGACCTCAGGTGACCTCGCTGACCTTGGGAGGTCACATGACCGTTGTGGCCTATGGCAGCCATTCTATAACTCAGAAACTACTGGGCCGATCGCGACGAAAACAGCACCAGTCGATTCAGCGTATGCGATTTCATCAGCCGTTTTGAATATAGTGACCTCAGGTGACCTTGATGACCTTGGGAGGTCACATGACCGATGTTGCCTATGGCAGCCATTCTATAACTCAGGAACTACTGGGCCGATCGCGACGAAAACACCACCAGTCGAATCAACGTATGCGACTTCATCAGCCGTTTTGAATATGGTGACCTCAGGTGACCTCGGTGACCTCAAAAGGTCAACTTAACGTTTTCGCCTATTGCAGCCATTCTATAACTCAGGAACTACTGGGCCGATCGTGACGAAAACACCACCAGTCGATTCAGCGTATGCGATTTCACCAGCCGTTTCGAATATGGTGACCTCAGGTGACCTCAGTGACCTTGGGAGGTCACATGACCGTTGTGGCCCAGTAAACATGCCGACGTCGGCCCGACGTCGGGCCGAGGCTCGGCCCGACGTCGGCCCAACGTCGGTTCAACCTCGGCCCGACATCGGCTGGACGTCGGATATGCCCGCATGTTCCGACGTCCAGCCGAAGTCCAGCCGACGTCGAGCCGACGTCGGGCCGAGATCGTTTGCCGAGGTTGACGAGATCGTTTGTCGTTGGACCGACGGGGCCGACGTCGGCATGTTTATTGGGACAACGCGCCAAAAATATCAACCGGCGGCGGGATTCGAGCCCCCCAGTCGCCGACGTCGGCATGTTTACTGGGACAACACGCCAAAAGCATCAACCGGCGATGGGATTCGAACCCCGTGTCATTCGAACGCGAGGTTAGTGCGCTAACCACTACACCACGCAGCCAGTTAACGAATTTGGTTTGTTTTGTTGGGTTATGCCCTTTCGGTCTGACAAGACCATTTCAGAGCCGGAAGGATCATAGGATGGAGACATTGGTCTTCTTGGTGAGCAACCTGGGTCCAGTTCATATAGAGTCCCTGGTCCCATTGCTGTTACGTGACACTTATTGGAAAGGGCGACCCCACAATGGATTCATATAGCCACTCTTACACACCTGCACCAACGTTTCCCAAAGTGTCCCTTTGATAAGTGGCACTTTGGCAAAGTGACACTTGCCGACTGGCCTTTCTATATGAACTGGGCCCGGCCCTGGTGAGTTGCCGGGGCTGAGCCTGACCAAAGGATAGGCCGAGCAGCCCCCAAGCACTCACCGCACCCGGCTACGGGCGAGCTCGGCTTACGGGCAATCCCAAATGGGATAAAGTTTCCCGTCCAGTCCGGATCAGGGGGTTGCGGCGTGGAGGAAGATTTGAGTTTCCTGAGGATATTTTGAATACAGAAGCTCTTTATGAAACATGAAACATGTATTTTATATTATTTTAATGGTCAAAACAGCGGCCGATGTCGGTCCGACGTCGCTCCGACGTCGGCCCGACGTCGGCTGGACCTCAGCAATTGATCTCGGTCCGACGTCGGCCCGACGTCGGCTGGACCTCGGCTGGACGTCGGAACATGCGGGCATATCCGACATCCAGCCGACGTCGTGCCGAGGTTGGACCGACGTCGGACCGACGTCGGCATGCCGATGCCGAGTTGCCGACGTCACCCCGACGTCGGCCGACGTCGGACCGACGTCGGCATGTTTACTGGGGGCCTATGGCAGCCATTCTATAACTCAGGAACTACTGGGGTGATCGTGACGAAAACACCACCAGTCGATTCAGCGTATGCGGTTTCATCAGCCGTTTCGAATATGGTGACCTCAGGTGACCTCAGTGACCTTGGGAGGTCACATGACCGTTGTGGCCTATGGCAGCCTCCCTCCCAAGGTCACCGAGGTCACCTGAGGTCACCATATTCGAAACGGCTGATGGAATCGCGTACGCTGAATCGACTGGTGGTGTTTTCGTCGCGATCGGCCAAGTAGTTCCTGAGTTATAGAATGGCTGCAATAGGCCACATCGGTCATGTGACCTCCCAAGGTCATCGAGGTCACCTGAGGTCACCATATTCGAAACGGCTGATGAAATCGCATACGCTGAGTCGACTGGTGGTGTTTTCGTCGCGATCGGCCCAGTAGTTCCTGAGTTATAGAATGGCTGCCATAGGCCACATCGGTCATGTGACCTCCCAAGGTCACCGAGGTCACCTGAGGTCACCATATTCAAAACGGCTGATGAAATCGCATACGCTGAATCGACTGGTGGTGTTTTCGTCGCGATCGGCCCAGTAGTTCCTGAGTTATAGAATGGCTGCAATAGGCGAAAACGTTAAGTTGACCTTTTGAGGTCACCGAGGTCACCTGAGGTCACCATATTCGAAACGGCTGATGAAATCGCATACGCTGCATCGACTGGTGGTGTTTTCGTCGCGATCGGCCCAGTAGTTCCTGAGTTATAGAATGGCTGCCATAGGCCACATCGGTCATGTGACCTCCCAAGGTCACCGAGGTCACCTGAGGTTACCATATTCGAAACGGCTGGTGAAATCGCATACGCTGAATCGACTGGTGGCGTTTTCGTCACGATCGGCCCAGCAGTTCCTGACTTATAGAATGGCTGCCATAGGCCACAACGGTCATGTGACCTCCCAAGGTCACTGAGGTCACCTGAGGTCACCATATTCGAAACGGCTGATGAAATCGCATACGTGGAATCGACTGGTGGTGTTTTCGTCACGATCGGCCCAGTAGTTCCTGAGTTATAGAATGGCTGCCATAGGCCACAACGGTCATGTGACCTTCCAAGGTCACCGAGGTCACCTGAGGTCACCATATTCGAAACGGCTGATGAAATCGCATACGCTGAATCGACTGGTGGTGTTTGCGTCGCGATCGGCCCACTAGTTCCTGAGTTATAGAATGGCTGCCATAGGCCACATCGGTCATGTGACCTCCCAAGGTCACCGAGGTCACCTGAGGTCACCATATTCGAAACGGCTGATGAAATCGCATACGCTGAATCGACTGGTGGTGTTTTCGTCGCGATCGGCCCAGTAGTTCCTAAGTTATAGAATGGCTGCCATAGGCCACATCGGTCATGTGACCTCCCAAGGTCACCGAGGTCACCTGAGGTCACCATATTCAAAACGGCTGATGAAGTCGCATACGCTGATTCGACTGGTGGTGTTTTCGTCGCGGTCGGCCCAGTAGTTCCTGAGTTATAGAATGGCTGCCATAGGCCACAACGGTCATGTGACCTCCCAAGGTCACCGAGGTCACC